AGAAGGGAGATTCTGTTAATTATTTAGGTTATAGAATAGGTTTGCAAAAAATTAAGACACAGAAGACACAAATTCGGAGGGATCGCCTACGGACTCTTAATGACTTTCAAAGACTGTTAGGAGACATTTCCAGTCTACGACCAGCTATTGGAATAACACCTGATCTAATAATTCATTTGAACAAAGCCTTGGATGGTGATAAAGATTTAAACAGTCCCAGAGAATTAACAGCTGAAGCAGAAAAGGAACTGACAATGATTGAGGAGAAATTACAACAGGCACATGTGGACAGAGTGAATCCAGAGCTTGATTGTATTCTCGTCATATTACCGTCAAAAATTTCTCCTACAGGAATTTTAATGCAGAGAGATGATATTATCTTGGAATGGATCTTTTTACCACATAAACCAAGTAAGAAACTGAAAACTTATGTGGAAAAAGTCTCTGAGTTAATTATAAAAGGCAAGCTGAGACTTCGTCAACTGGCAGGCATAGACCCAGCAGAAATTATAGTGCCTTTCACTGCTGATGAACTAAAGAAATTATGGGAAGATAATGAACCATGGCAAAGAGCTTGTGCTAATTTTTGGGGGGACATTAATAACAACTATCCAAAAAGCAAGCGGCTTAACTTCATAAAGAGAACTTCTTGGATCCTTCCTCGAATCATCCGTGATGCTCCAATAACTGGAGCCTGTACATTCTATACTGATGCCAATAAATCAGGGAAGGCAGGTTACAAATCAGAAGACTTGGGTAAGGTGGAACAAAGTCCTTATGATTCTGTCCAGAAGGCAGAATTATATGCCATTCTTATGGTACTAAGAGATTTTAAAGAACCTATTAATATAGTTACTGATTCACAATACACAGAAAGAGTTATTTTACATATTGAAACTGCTGAATTTATACCTGATGATACAGAACTAACTTCATTGTTTATCCAGGTTCAAGATTTGATCAGGAACAGGCTTTGCCCTATGTACATAACAAACATCCGATCCCATACGGGTCTGCCAGATCCTCTAGCACAAGGTAATGCAGAAATTGATCAATTATTGATTGGTAGTGTGCTACAAGCCTCGGAATTTCATAAAAAACATCATGTTAATAGCAAAGGTTTGAAGAAAAAGTTTTCAATTACATGGCAACAAGCTAAGTAGATTGTAAAGAAATGCCCTACCTGTTCTTTCTATAACCAAACACCACTGCCAGCAGGGGCTAATCCAAAGGGCACCCACAGGAATGAAATCTGGCAGATGGATGTGTTCCATTTTGCAGAATTTGGCAAATTGAAGTATGTTCATCACACCATTGACACTTATTCAGGCTTTCAATGGACAACTGCTTTAAGTTCAGAAAAAACTGATTCAGTAATCACTCATTTATTAGAAGTCATGGCTATCATGGGTATACCTACACAAATAAAGACAGATAATGGTCCTGCTTATGTCTCTAGGAAAATGAAACGGTTTTTTGATTATTACAATATCAAGCATGTTACAGGTATACCATGCAATCCTACAGGTCAAGCAGTCATAGAAAGATCAAATCGAACTATAAAGTATATGTTGAACAAACAGAAAGGGGTGGAAAACACCCCAGAAATAATGCTTTGTTAACCTTGAATTTTCTCAACGCTAATGAGAAGGGAACGACGGCTGCAGAAAGACATTGGATAATGGAAAAGTCTGCTGAACTAAATCAACCAGTTTATTTCAAGGATGTGCTCACCTCACAATGGAAGCCAGGAGATGTGCTGCATTGGGGAAGGGGTTTTGCTCTTATCTCCACAGGTGAGGAAAAATTATGGATACCGTCAAAATTAATAAATGTTCAGTTTGAAGAAGAGAAGTCACTTGGAAAAGATAAATAACAATTCATTCACAAGGATGACGGGCATTCTGATGATAAGGATTACAGATAGGTTGGGGGCAGGGTTCTTTTTTTATCTCTACAGGAAAATACTCATCTTCAAAGAATTTAAGGGACCCTGAATATTTAATTACTGATGGATGGAAAATAGTTACGGCCCACTGAGTATCAACAATAAAATTCTATATATACTGTAAGTATTGATTTTTTTATATATGTATTTATATGTTTTATTGAACACTTCTTTATAAATGTGTAGAGCTGGTTTTGGAGTTGGACTATGGCTCAGTCCCTCTTCAATTCCAGCCTGTTGATAAGAGATATTTCAGAGTTTCTGTCTCAGGTCAGGAGCCATGAAATGGGACAGAATAAGAATAATTTTATATTTGATAAACTTTCTTTGCCTTTCCTCATATCTGTGTCTTTCTTTATATGTCAGTATATATCCTTGTTGTTAATGTTTAAATTTCCCATAACAAGCAACATATTTTCCTACAGTAATCTTTGAAGATTCCAGGATGAAGATGGGGCCCCACAACATCAACTCAATCTGGCTTTTATGACGTCATGAATTTTTTTTTAAGCGCTAATATTAGACCTGTTTTTTGGTACCAACTGCAAGAGACAATTTCAAATGATGCACATTTTTGACAACACTCTGGCTGGACCTTCTCAAAACGCTCAGAGACTAGTTATAATTTTCTTAAGTCAAAGGTTAATTTGGGAATTTTACCATCATTTGCTTTCACAGGGGCCCCTAAGAAGAACGTCGCCCCCATGTCAGCTAGAAGGAATCTAAGAGGACGACGTCCCCTCTCCCAACAGAGTTTGCCCACAGGGTTAGGGACATCTTTTAGTGGTTGGTTTAGGGTTGAGGGGATGGGGAGATATTGTATGGAATTAGGGGTATATAAAAAAAGGGGGGGGATTAACTGGTTTGATGGGATGATTGGTATTTGTGACTTACTGTTTTTAGAAAATTATATTGGTACTGTTTCTTGTATATTGATATATTGAATATTGAATGTGAGTGTGCCTACCTCTATTTTTGTATAAGAGTACGCTTATATTATATGGATACATCTATCATATCACAATGTACATTTCTACCTCTGGTACTATTTATGTAATAACATTGTTTACATTTTGATGTGTAATGACATTGTTTACAGGTGAAGATCATTGTCTTCACTATGCACAGTTGTTTATTCTCTTAGTTTTCAAATTAGATAGGTATTGAGAATTAGATGTTTGTCATATTTATTTTTAGGTTAATCAGGTCTTTTAGATACATAGAGATGATATTTAGTATAGATAGTATAATCTTCAGCCTCTTTGAAGAGCTGTAGAACATGGCCTTTAATCTAACCTAGAATTCTGTGCCATCGAGACACAATTACTCCTGGCAATGCCACTCTACTCCCGAGAGAACGTTGAGCACCAAAGACACTCCACTGGGAGCTTGTCTTCTTGGCAGAACTGGCCTTTGGGTTAAGAAAAACCCATACCTCAACTACTGACTAAGATATGAAACAGGATTGTCTTATCTTGCCAAGACAGGGTAGGATAATTCTAAGAAAGTTCCTTGCATTTGATAATGATATGTCAGTTATGTTAGGCCCTAGCCAAAGTTGGTTGACTCAACATTGCAAACGAGACTTTGGGTGATTGCCCAGGTAGTCAGTTGTCTCTGATATCCATTTGTTGCACATTTTGGATATCTCTCATTTGTTAAGTAATATTTATTCCCTTCTCAGATCTTTGATGGAGTTGAAGATTATTTAATAGTAGTTACTCTCTACATTATTTAGACTCATTGAGATAGAATGTCTAGCAAAACTTTTGTTCTCAATATTGTTTGTTATATTTATCATTTGTTATTATTGTTTATAGTTATATTTGGTTTAGTTCTGTCTTATTTAGACAAAAGGGGGAGATGTAGGGTTAAGACAGCCCCTTGAGGGGGCGGGGTTTGCCTCGGGCGAATGCCTACGAATAAATGGGCACGCGGGAGGCGGCTCCGGCCCTTTCCTTCCTACCTCCTGTGCCACGCTGGAACTTCGGTTCTGTAAGTTTATCATTAAAGTGTAAATATTCTTTAGTATCTGCATTGCATTTATTTACGCCGATACAGCCCCAACTTGGTTTTTGCTTCTGGCATTTTGCTGAAAGCAATGGAAACCCTAAGACATTTCCTTACTGAAAACAAACCAAAAACTTTTCTCCTCCCTCTTGAAAAATGTTTGAGCTGGGTGTGGTGGAACACAGATATTATTTCAGCACTCCAGAGGCTGAGGCAGGAAACTCTGAAGTCTGAGATCAGCCTGGGTTTCTTTCTTTCTTTCTTTCTTTCTTTCTCTCTTTCTCTCTCTTCTCCTTTTCTCTCTCTCACTCTCTCCTCTCTCTCTCTTCCCTGTTTCTCTCTTTGTCTCTCTTTCTCTTCCACTTCCCTTCCTCTTTGTGAGGATTCAGAGAGGACTGTGCTGAGAATTGAGGAGAGGCCATTCACATTCTATTCTGGCAAAGAATCTGGTTCTTGCTTTTGAAGATATCCTGAAAGCTGAAGTGAGAGTGAATTTAAAACTCAGTGGGCTAACGGTCAGCGGTGGGAGCACACGCCTTTAATCCCAGCAGTGAGGAAGCAGAGGCAGGTGATATCGATGAGTTTGAAGCCAGCCTGGTCTATAATTTCAATTCCAGGACAGCCAAGGCTGTGCAGAGATACCCAGGCCCCCTAGGGACTATCTTTGCAGAGGATCTGTGTGTCCTTTGTGGCTGAACGTGAGAAAAGAGCTTCTCAATCAGCCATTTTCCAGCATGTTAGCCCGATAGCTGTGTTCTCAGATATTCTCATATGGAATTGAAATTATAGACCAGGCTGGCCTCGAACTCACAGAGATACACCTGCCTCTGCCTCCTCAGCGCTGGGATTAAAGGCATGCGCTACCACGCACATCTTAGACATAAATTTTATTTATTACTTATTTTTTTACAAAAAATAAATATGTGTTTATTTTTTTCAAGGCATTAATAAATGTATTAAAACACTACTAACTTTGATGTCTTTCCGCAGAGTTGCTGTAATTGCTCTATGTATCCCATAGTCTACCCAGGAGTCATCGGTATCAACACTGACCACTGCTTCTGGGATACACATGTAGGGTACCGGTGAGAGGTTCATGGGATTGCTTCAGACGTTTGAGAGGGGGCTCCAGTAAATTGCATTGAGCAGAAGCCAGGGACCCGTATGCTTCAGCCACCAAGTGGGGGCATGAATCCACCATTAACTTCCAGCTTGTGGTCTGAGAGACCTCGGAAGCATGAGCTGTAATAAAATTCAGCACCTGTGTTTTCAGCTGCCCTGTGCTGTGGAGGTCAGCCAGGAAGAGAGTGTGGGCAGCATTCTCCACAGAGAGGTCCCTGCAGAGGGCACTCCCGCACATGACCTTCAAATGCTCCAGGCCATACTTGTCAGCAGCTGCCAGCGCAGCATCTGCCATGCTGTGGAGGACTGGTTCCTTCCCAGTGTAAATGAAGTCCATCATTGCCTTGAAGACTCCAGGTTTCAGGTCATGAATCTCAACACGATTCTTTCTGCTCTCCTCCGTGTCATGTTCAAACATGGCTCTGAAAACTGGGGAGTGAGCAGCTAAGACAGCCTTGTGAGCCTGGAATTCCTGGCCAGCTACCACCAGGCAGCAGTCTGTGAAGCTCGAATTCTTCCGCAGCGCTCCTAGATCATCTCCTAATGGGGCTTCGGGAACCTGGATTCTCGGCTCCGTGCTGTCGTCAGGATTACTCTAGGAGTACGGGACCAGGATCTCAATGCAGAGGAGGGTGAACTGGTCTTCAGGGAGAAATCCATGAGAATGGTCTAAGAGGAAATCTCGAAGGATGAACATTTTGTAACCCCTTGGGTAGCCTGGTAGGAAACTGAATTCTATCCGGCTAGTCTTATGTTCGTTTATTTCTCCTTTGGCGTTTAGGATCCAAAACTTGAACTGTGCCATAATGGGACTCTTTGGAGAGCTGAGCAACTCTATGTTAACTGACAGGTAATCTGAGCTTTCTTCATTGACCCCCTTAGGGTGAACTCTCAAACACCATTTGTTATCGTCTCCTGTTGAGAAAGTTGGGCTTCTAATACTGTCCCTTGTTTCCTCCAGAGTAAAACGGAAGTTGCGGATGGTCTACTTGCAGGAGAAATTCTGCATGTTCAACAGTTCATAGTCCCAGCTCTGGTCTATGGTGTCCTGTGACATTTCTCCTGGAGGCAGTTTGCAGGTTAAACTGGATCCAAAATTAAAAAACTAGGATTTGTCTTCTCTTGGCTCAGTCCAGGAGGTTAGACGAGCCGACTGCTCTTTAATCGATGCTGGAAATGGGATGAAGAATTCTCTAATGCCAGTGAGGAAATGGTCTTACTGCAAGGTGAGGGCAAGCAGGCAATCTGTGTTTATTTTTAAAAATAAAATGGAAAGAACTGGCAAAGAACAAGCCCTGGGATAGAGAAGTCGCTGTCAGTCAGTCAACAGACAACAAGGACACAGCCAAGGGTAGGTGCCTAGTCCAAAGGGCAGAACTGACCGCGAGTTGCTGGTCTGTGTCTAGCAAGACAAGCATTAGAGCTGGATGTCGGGCTGTCCTGGACCACCACCACCACAGCACCGCACAGCCTCGGAGAAGCTACATGTCCTCCACACTCCACTTGTAGGCAAGCTCCTCCCCAGCCTTCTTGCTGGCGAGCCAGGCAAAGCGCTTCTGTTCGAAGCCATTGGATCTGTCCACTCCACCCCAGTGGTAGCCAGGCCAGATACTGAATCTATTGGGAGGAGGTGCAGGACTATTACAGCGAGGCCTCGCTTTCTTGTGCTTGTTCTCCTCAGCCTTATTCTTCTTAATGAAGTCGGCCATCAGGTCCCCCACTCTTTCTTGTTCTCTCAGCATCTGATCCAGATCTTCATCATCGACACAGCGGGCCAGAGGCTTCTGCATCTCCTTCATGGCATCCTCTACATTCTGCTGCTGTTGCCGGCTCTGAGCAAGCCCTTTGCCCCACTGGGCATAGAGCTCATCTCTGTCTGAGTCCTTCTCTGCTTTTCTCCTCTGCTCCAGGCATTCCAGCTTCAAATTCCTCTTCTGACCAGACTTGTCTCGAAATACAGTTTCAGTGAATTCAAACTGAGCTCCAAGGGCTGTGTTGTCTCGGTCCTGTTTTTGGCGTTCCTGCTGCTCCCGCTGGACATCGGGCACCAGCCCAGATTTTGCTCAGGAATACATGCGTGCAGTCTTCCTCCCGGGATGGGGACTCCTTCGAGGAGGAGAGAGATCCGAATCAGAAGATTTGGTCCTCTGTCTTCTCCGGGGTGGAGAGAGGTCAGAGTCAGAGCTCCGGCGCCTCTGTCTCTTCCGTGGCAGTGACAGATCTGAGGCAGAATCCTGGTGTCCTGGAGTTTGTGTTTGCCATGGAGGACAAAGATCTGAATCAGAGGCTTTTTGGCAGACACCTTGAGGAGCAAGCTGCCATTTCCGCTGAGAAAGGTCATCAGAGTCCTGCCCACACTTGCTGACCTTGGAGAGTGACAAGTGAGAGGGTCCCAGCCCCCTCTGAAGTACAGTCTTGCTGGAGGGCGCAGCTTTCCTACTCTTAGTTCTGGGCAGCTCCAAATCCGGGGAGTAATGATGGGCCCTCCTGAGAGGAGATGGATCTGGGGAGTCATGACGGGCCCTCCTGGGAGGAGATGGATCTGGGGTGTCATGACGGGCCCTCCTGAGAGGCTGTGGGTCTGAAGTGTCAAAAGTCCTCCTATGTGTGGCTGTGTCAGGAGAGTGGTTATGGACCCTTCTGCGGGGAGAGACACCCGAGGAACCAGGATAGCCTCTCCTAGGGGATACACCTGAAGGCTTCCTGAGGAGAGAAGCATGTGAGTCATGGCAGAGCCTTTTAGGAGGAGAGGTGTCGGAGTCATGACGGAATCTCCTTGGGGGAAAGGGATCTGGGGTATAATGATGGGCCATCCTGGGAGGAGATGGATCTGGGGTGTCATGACGGGACCTCCTAGGAGAAGTTGGATCTCGTTCATCATGATGGAAATATCCATCTTCACTGTAGTCTCCCCGGAGCTTCCATTTGGCACTGGAGTAGAAGGCCGCCATCTGCTTTACCTCTTCTGGATGCTCATCCACAAACTCAGCCACCACAGGCAAATCTCCATCCTCTTCTTCCTCCTTTTCCGGCTTAGCAGTAGAGATAACTGCCCAGCCCACATCATCATCAATAATCCGCAATCCATTGCCAGTGGTGCCTCCCGGCTTTGGTCCTTTTTTGTACCTCTTCCGAAGGGACTCTTCCTTCCTGGCAGGCCATGTGCCCCAGATAAGTATCGCTTCAGATATTCAGCTTTGGAGAGTGTTGGAGCTGCCACCATGACAGTAACGAGGGAGAGGCAGACCTACAATTTTTTTTTATAACCTGCATTTATTTCAAAAGAAACAAATTTTAAGTAATGCTAATTTAACCAATAGATAAAAAGCTTCTATCAAAATATACAATTTCCATTGCAGACTAGAAGGCTAATATAAAAAAATAGTTGTAAGCCAAAAAATTGGCTTGTATGGATGGGAGGAAATGCCCCTTTGAAGCACACAGCATCAAACGAGGTCTTATAAAAGACTGCTCTGTGGTCTTCTTCATTTGCAAGTTCTTGATGAATTCATAAAGCTTGGGTTTCAGTCTGTAGATCAAGCTATATCCATGCTTCTTAAACCAAGTTTGCAGAAAAGGAGGAATCAAATGATTCAGAATCTCAAGTGGGCTTTATGCTTGACCATGTATCTATCCAATGTTTCCCAGAAACGGAAGAAAACTGGTCGATCCAAATGACGCTTATAATAGCTGAGTTCTAATACTGTTACATCCCATTTTTGAACATTTGGATCTAGACGAACTTCATCATACTTGAGGTGGAAGGCTTTAATTTTAGCAAATATGTCAACTGGTGATCCATTGGGTAGAAGCCATGGCCAACCTTTGAACTGCCAAGCAGGACCTTGAACAAAAACAGCTACAACCCGATCCCAGTCTTGAGGCATAAGTTTCAGGGGCTGGTCTACTACTCTATAAGGTGCTGTGACACTAATTGCTGTGCCCCCTGGTTGCATCTGATCTTTTCTTCTCTGTATTAGTGTTTCATTTTCTCGTTGACAACCTTGTTTCTTCTTTTCATCTGATGGGACAAACTTTAGATCCTGTAGAAGGTCTTTTGCATTAAGCATAGTTATTAAAGAAGTGGTAGCTGCAGGGATAATAATAATGGGCGTTCGTGATCCTTTCTTCTGATTTGGGGGCGGTCTTGCTTGAGAAACTGGTCTAGGTACAGGCCGGGCTGCAGGAATTTGAGTCTTACGGGCAGATGCACCTTCCGTTACAGATTTCAGTGTCATGCCATGGTATGTGCCCGTAGTATCAATCTTAAAGCCTTCCATTTCTTCTTTGCCTTTGAATCTCTCCTGGTCATATCTGTTGTAGGCCGCTGGGATAGACTGCTTTGTACGCAAAGTAGGATCCACAGGGGCTGTATTTGGAGCAGGCCGCTGTTCAGGGGCACGCCCTTCTTCTCTGTCTTTTACAGATTGAAGAATTGCAAAAATGTCCTTGGAAAAAGTTTTTCCTGTGCTTTGTAAGATAGTTGCTCTTGTTCTCCACACTCTCTCTCTGCTGACAATATCTCTGGTCACATCTACCTCAGCAGCCACAAAACTCCTCTGTTTAAGGGCAGTTATATCACCATCTAGATCAGTCTTGATAGTAGATCTTTTCTTAGCCATAATTTTGGCTTTGATTGCAGCAATTTTTTCCACTGACATGGCTTCAGACAAAGACCTAATCTGTTCAGTCTGTACAATCCCTTCTTTATGGCCTTCCAAACGAGCTGCCAATCTCTCTTTATCAAGACGCACACACTCTTCATCCTCAATTCGTGGTTTCTTTGCTTCTGCTAAAACTTCATCTGCAGCTCTTTTGACTTGAGTGCACCGCTGAAGACCTATTTCCAAGGGTGCACTCCTATCGATGCTGGCTGATGTTGATGCTTCCCCATTGAGATATCCAAGTAGATCTTTTCTGTCAGGTCTTCTAACCACAGGAATATTTTCAGTAGCTGCACATCGGACATAAGCAGGATGAGAAAGGTGTACATTATTAAGTAGAAATAATATAGACTCCAATGTGTAGTATTCTCTGGGTTGGCCTTTCGTTCCAGTCCCCCAAACGACATAGTTGGTCTTCACGTTCTTGGGCCAGGAGAAGAACTCCCCGAAGATGACTTCGTCTCCCTTGACCACGATCTGCTTCTTCTGGATGTTGTACTGTCGCAGGACACTGAGCACGTCCGCCATCTTTGCCGCCTTCGCTGCCGCTGCGGGCCCAGGGCACCACCTTTACTGCCGGGCACCACTGCCGCTTCTCCCCTTCGCTTCGCCCTCTGCCTCAGCCGCCGCTGCTGCCGCGAACCAACAGCCGCCACACTAACAGCCGCCCTCGTCTATGACAGCAGCACGGGCAGAAGCCACCGACCTACAAATTTTTAAAAGTTCAATATAGTGCAATGCAAATAATACAAGACCCTGTCTCAAAAAGAATAAATTGAATTTTAAAATAAAATCATTATTTACGATGAGACTCTCATGTCTCAGGTTTCTTTGGTATTTGACAAATACTTTTTCTGAGTATTTTACTTTCTTACACTCTTAAATATTGTTTTGCTTTTTATATTTTGAGTCAGGGCCTGGTCCATGAAGACCAGGATGCCCTCCAATTCACAGAGATATGCCTGTCTTGGCCTACTAAATATTGGGATTAAAGATGTTCACCCCTCAAGCCCTGGCTTAAAACTTTTCTAAATGAAAAATTTCAGTCTTTTCCTTAAGTCTGTTGCTAACATAAGAGTTATTTGGCATGTGTAAGCCAAGAAAACACAAAGCCGTCTGGCAAATAAACAGCAAACCAATATGCAAGCAAAGCCTGCAGATTCACAGACTTTCTGCTGTTCCACTCAAAAGAATATTTCTATCCTACACTAACGTCGCAAAAGCACTATGGGAACTTTTAAAAGAGTTTAATTATACAAGTCATGGGTTTAAAGCAGAAAAGAATGTATAGGAAACATATTTACTTTATATAAGAAAAAAGAAAGGCTGGAGGTGGTGGCACACACCTTTAATCCCAGCACTCGGGAGGCAGAGGCAGGCGGATCTCTGTGAATTTGGTGCCTGCCTGGGCAACAAAGTGAGTTCTAGGTTAGCTAGGAATGTTACACAAAGAAATACTGTCTCAAAAAACCAAACCAAAAAAGAAAAAAAAAAAGAAAAAAAGGTTTTGGGTGTTGTCTGTTTGTTTTTGAAGATGACTCAATTTCAGAGAAACTGAGAAGCCTGCTGCAACCATACAGGCTGGGCTGCTAAGGATCCGGAGGTGTAGAGAATCTGGAGTAAGTCTCAATAAGCTGTAGCACAATGAACAAAAACACAGACACAGATATTGGGGTTCAACATGATGACCAAAAAAGCAAAGCAGCTAGCCACTACCACATACCTCTCCTTCAGTCCGAGTATGGTGGCGATCCTGCCTCCAGGAATCCTCAGAATGAGACTGGCTGAGAGCTGTCTCCTCCTGTCTTATATTCCTCTCTAGGGCGGGGAAAATGGCGTGTACCACTCCCACCCAGTTTCTATGACCAACTAGTGTGGCTACTTGGATTAAAGGTGTGTGATGCCACTGTCTGGTCGGTGAGGCTGACCAGGGTGTTTGTTTTACACTCTGATCTATAGGCAAGCTTTATTTACTAAAATATAAATGAAATATCATTACACTAAGCAGTCTGACAGTGTGACTGTCTAGATCTAGTGCCCACCAGGGTACCACATGCTCCTCTGCGATATCAATACTGCCTCAGACCAACATCTGAACCCATTCTACTCACCGTAACAGGGGAAATCATTGCTTTCCAAGTTCACCTGAACATGGAGTCAAATGTGTATCTATAAATGTCAGAAATCAGAGGCAGAGGTCACAGGAAGCAGTTAGGTGAGAAGGAAATGTCCAGCAGAATCGATCTCATGTGGGTGAAGACACGTAGAAAACACACCAGGGAGAGCCAAGCCACTTTATTTTAAATTAGCTGAGGAGCAGGAATGGCTGGAGAGGGATATGCCTCGGGAAAGAGGGTACATAGCAGAGGGAATGAGAAGACTGCCTCGGATGGACAGTTCATTTAGCTCATCCTTCTTACAAGTCCTTATAGGTCACACCGCAAGACCTTGGGGCCCTTTAGGAACAGATCCTCTCGCCCAAGGCTGTGGGCATGGAACTGAGAGCTCTTGGTTCCTGGATAGAAAGGGTGTTCCGAATTTCTAAGAGGAAGTAAAATGACAAACCAAGCATTAGCGACACTGTGATGTGCATAAAACCAGGCCCTGGACATCCTGGAAAGGACGCGAAGGCCTAGTTTGTATATGCCCATGAACAGGTGCTTCTCACTGAGCACCTGTTTCTGTCCCCAACTGCAATGAGTGATGTAATGGGGAATGTAGTGGAACCTGTCCTGGAACTAGCTATTTTAGACCATGCTGGCCTTGAACTCACAGAGATCCTCCTGCCTCTGCCCCCCTCTTGAGTGCTGGTTTCAAAGGCATGCACCACCATCTTCTGGCCCCGCTTACTGTGTTCTTAAATCTTTGTGTTTCCTGGCTGTCGATGGAAAATCCAAAGGCCAAGTAATCCAAGGTCAGGGCTCAAGGAAGCTTTTCCTTATTCCTTAGAATGTTTCTGAGTAGGTGCTCAAGATGAGGACAGGGCAGTGAGGTGGGGGTAAAGGCACTGTGTGCCACACCAGCATACCAACCTGAGTTTGATATCTCGGACCCATGTAAAGGAGAGAGAGCAAAATCCATGAAACTGGCCTCTGAGTCCCACAGGTACATTCCTATATACACAGTAATAATTTCTGTCAACTTAACAGTAAACTATTGTCACCTGGGATAGGAAACCACAACTGTGAGATTGCCTAAATCAGATGGGCCTTGCTCTGTTGTGGGAGCTGCAGGGCGGCAATTCGCCACCCACCTCCCAACACTGGCTAGCTTTACCTGAAATAACAACACACAAACTGTATTCTTTTAAACACTGCCTTAAACACTGGCTCTCCCTGGTGTGTTTTCTACGTGTCTTCCCCCACATGAGATCGAATCTGCTGGACATTTCCTTCTCACCGAACTGCTTCCTGTGACCTCTGCCTCTGATTTCTGACATTTATAGATACACGTTTGGTTCCACATTCAGGTGAACTTGGAATGAAATGATTTCCCGTTACAGTGAGTAAATGGATTCAGATGTTGGTCTAGGCAGTATTGATGAGATCAAAGAGGAGCATGTGGTACCCTGCTGGGCACTAGATCTAGGCGGTCACACTGTCAGACTGCTTAGTGTAATGATATTTCATTTATATTTTAGTAAATAAAGCTTGCCTAAATCTCAGAGTGTAAAACAATCCCCCTGGTAGCCTCAATGACTAGACAGTGGCATCACACACCTTTAATCCAAGCAGCCAGACTAGTTTGACATAGAAACCAATCGGTAGCGGTGCACGCCCTTAATCCCCGCTCTAGAGAGGAATATAAGAAAGGAGGGAGACAGCGCTCAGCCAGTCTCATTCTGAGGATTCCTGGAGGCAGGATCTCCATACTGGAACTGACAGAGAGGTAAGTGCTAGTGGCTGGCCGCGTTGCCTTTCTGGTCGTCATATTGAACCCCAATATCTGTGTCTGTGTTTTTGTTAATTGTGCTACAGCTTATTGAGACTTACTCCAGATTCTCTTCACCTCCTCATCCTTAGCAGCCCAGACTGTATTGTTGCAGCAGGCTTCTCATTTTCTCTCAAGTTGAGTCATCTTCAAAAACAAACAGAGACAACCCAAAGCATTTCTTTTTCTCTTAGACTGTTTTGTTTTTATTTTTTTGTTTTTGAGACAGTGTTTCTCTGTGTGACAGCCCTAGCTGTCCTAGAACTCGTTTTGTTGCCCAGGCAGGCACCAAATTCACAGAGATCCGCCTGACTCTGCCTCCTGAGTGCTGGAATTAAGGGTGTGCACCTCCATCCAGCCTTTCTTTGTTCTTAAATAAAGTAAATATGTTTCCTATACATTCTTTTCTACTTTCAACCTATGACTTGTGTAATTTAAACTGTTTTAAAAATTCCCATAGTGCCGGACGGTGGTGGCGGATGCCTTTAATCCCAGCCCTCGGGAGGCAGAGGCAGGCGGATCTCTGTGAGCTTGAGACCAGCCTGGTCTACAAGAGCTAGTTCCAGGAGAGGCTCCAAAACCACAGAGAAACCATGTCCCAAAAAACCAAAAAAATAAAATAATATAAGTTCCCATAGTGCTTTTTCGATGGTAGTGTAGGATAGAAATATTCTTTGGACCTAAATCTGGAGTGGAACAGCAGAATAGTCTGAGAAACTGTAGGCTTGGTTTGCGTATTGGTTTGCTGTTTATTTGCCAGACGGCTCTGTGTTTTCTGGGCTTACACATGCCAAATAACTCTTATGTTAGCAACAGACTTGAGAAAAGACTGAAATTTTTCATTTAAAAAAGTTTTAAGCCGGGGCTTTAGAGGTAAACATCTTTAATCCCAATATTTAGGAGGCCAAGACAGGCATATCTCGGTGAGTTGGAGGGCATCCTGGTCTACGTGGACCAGGAGACCCTGTCCCAAAAAATATAAAGCACAACAAAATTTAGAGTGTAAGAAAATACAATATTCAGAAAAGTATTTGTCCAATACCAAGGAAACCTGAAACCTGAGAGTCTCATCATAAATAATGATTTTATTTTAAAATTAAATTTATTCTTTTTGAGACAGTGTCTTGTATTATTTACATGGCACTGTATTGAACTTTTCTAAATTTGTAGGTCAGCCCTCTGTCGCTCACGCTCATCATCTCTCGGTGGACTTGTAATCCTGGCCGCCACGGCCACGATGGCGACGTCGGGCTCCACGCGGAAGCGGCTGCTCAAAGAGGAGGACATGACCAAAGTGGAGTTCGAGAGCAGCGAGGAGGTGGATGTGACCCCCACGTTCGACACCATGGGCCTGCGGGAGGACCTACTGCGCGGCCTCTACGCCTACGGCTTTGAGAAGCCTTCAGCAATCCAGCAGCGCGCTATGAAGCAGATAATTAAGGGGAGAGATGTCATAGCACAGTCTCAGTCTGGCACCGGCAAGACGGCCACCTTCAGCATTTCAGTCCTCCAGTGCTTGGATATCCAGGTTCGAGAAACCCAGGCTTTGATCTTGGCTCCAACAAGAGAGTTAGCTGTACAGATTCAGAAGGGTTTGC